TTTGCAGTGTCACAGCTCACTCCCTACTATTCTTTTGCTATTGGCCTATCACAATATTCTGAGTGATCTCAAGTTTACTCCAATTACTCATACACGAAATATACATTTAAAGTTATTACACCAAATATAAAATACCATAAAATCAAAGGAAAGCACCGAAAAAAATGAGAAATCACTTGTTTAGCAAATCACTTGTTTGGCTGCTGTTCTACAGCTAATTCAACCATTTCTAGATACCTTGATAAAATGTCATCATTCTATATGATGTTTTTGCAAAACGTTTTGATGCACCAGACATTTTTTTTGTGACAAAGATGGCTACCTACCTCAGTGGTATTTATTCCTGCTTGTAAATAATTGAACCCTCAGTTGTTGCAGATGGTAAAACAAGAAGGCCACAGAAATATACTTCAAGCTGTGCATTTAGAAAGGGTCAATGGAAGTCATTGTTGGTGCTTCCACTGAAGGTATTTCAAAAGTGCTCTCTCAGTTGACAATTGCTATTTTTCCTTCCCTTTTCCTTGTTGAAATAGGAACATGATGATTGGAATTTCCACTGCCATTTGGAAAGCATGGGATGACACTGGGAATGGAAACCATGTTCTAACCCCAGTAGGGGAAGCACTGGATAATGGTGACATGACAGGGTTGCCATTCTGAAGCACCTCATCTGGGCTTCTTTTTTTACGTAAGAAAAACACAGCAGTGTCTTCTTTAAGCCCCTGTTAGTTGGAGCTGTCATCATGCCCAAAGGTAATCTCTCACTGATATACGTAAAATACATTTTCTACTTAGCTTCCTGGCTTCTTCAAATAGGTTTAAATATTAAAGATGATCCTTGAAATGCACTTATTATCTTCCCTCATTGATGAAAATACAGTAGAACAAGGTTTTGATCTACTCCAGTTGATTTTGATAAATTAATGTTATTCTTCGCTTCATTTCTCCCTTTCAGCTAAGACTAGAACTGGCAAGTTAGACTTAGAACAGCTCTCCCTGAACGCCTATCAAACCTTAGTGGTTCATACATTCCTCTATATAAACCTGACCTAATTAAAAGCATTTCTGATAAAGAGAAATTGCCAGATGCCTTAAGAAAGTCCTTTGGGTGAAGGTACTGCATTTCACTCTCCCTAGTATCCCATTCTGGAAGTACTTGGAAACACCAGTCAGTATTTCACTTCATTTCCTATTTCTCATGGTCTCACTGCTTTCCTTACCTATCCGCTTCCTCACCTTACCCCCTATTCTGTGGTCCATCATTATAATCATTCTCTTTCAAAATTGTTTATTTTCCTCATGCCTGTCTCTCTCCCACTTACTCTAGCAAATACAATGCTGGTTAAACCCAAATCTCTTCTTTCTATGATTGCAAATGCACAGCCAACCACAACTGAAGGAAAACATACTAGTATATATCGCGTCAAGAAAACCCAAAGATCTGTCTACTATACCAACTACTGACTGCTATTTCTATCACCCTCCTGTTCTGCAAGATAATTATTTTATATCTCTTCCTCTGCTCAGACAAGCTCTTACAAATTCCTCACTTTCAATAGTTGGTATTCCTGACTGCACTGAAAAAAATCCGAGCAATGCAAAGAGGATTATTTCCTCATGCTCCTACCCCGAGCATCTGTTCCCAAACAGCCTGTCTTGCTCCCTGTTTCAACAGATTAACTATTCATCTTCCAAAGACCAATCTTTCCATGTGTTTACTAATCACATCAACTTTTTAAAAAATTTGACTACTGCAGTTTTCCCTTTTTTCTCTTAAACGATCTGCATTTCCTCTTGACCAGATTATTCACATCAGCATAAAAGAGCATCGTATGTGCAGTTTTTATAAAATCCCCTCCCTTCAACTCCCCATCACTCTCTGGCTAACACAGTTCTCTCTCTGTTCACCCTGAACCAATGTTCAGCAATAATATTATCATTTTTCCCTCTTTCTAAACCCCATTCCTGCATAAAAAACATAAAAAAAAAAAAGGAGTTTGAAGCAGATTAAACGTAGTAGGAGGTAATAGAGAAGGGTTTTACTCCCAGGTTCAAAGATCTTTGTTTCTAGAAGAGGGAAAGTGTTAGATCTCAGTGGCAGTCAATGCTAACATGGAAGTCCTCTAAAGTAATTCATAGTGTTGAGACCCATGGTCATGGCTCTGTTGCTGAGATCTCATTGTTCCTTTATTCCCACATTCCATCTTCAGAAAAACCTTGAGATCAGAGAGGAAGCAGTTCATTCACAAGGAGGGGATAAAGTAGGGAAGCTGCATTTCTCCAGTGCTGCTCAGGGCACCTCTTGCAACATGAAAGCCTGCAGTTTGGCTCAGAGCCTTGTTCCTGGGCTTCCTAGCTGGCGCATGGCAAATGAGTGAGTTATCTAAGAAGCCTGCTTCAGATATGAATGACGAGCAGAAACTCTTAAAGAGCAGTCATTTGGAATGGTTCTCATGTGTCACCCTGCATCACAATCACCTCGGAAGCTTGCCAAAATGCAAATTTAAAATCAATTTCCAGAAAGTGCTGGTGGAGTCCAGTGATCTACATTTTGGCAATTTTTTCGTGTCATCCTGATGCTGCTAGAACATGAACCATGCATTGCTCCACAAACTACTAAGAACTGGACCAGCTAGTTGGTCCTTAGACTGAAAGAACTAGAACTGGGAGTGAGTATAAAAGACAGAACTAATTGTTGACCAAAACAGAACCGCAGAATCTCTCACAGAACAAAACAAAACAAACAGCTCAGAGCATTAGTTTTGTCAAATAGACCATTAGTCTGCAAACAATCACAACAAAGAGCCAGATTCGCAACAACAATCATTTCCCCAGGATGAAGCATCTAGAGAGAGAACACCCCCCCCCCGCCCTTACAGACTAGTTCTGTCCTCTCAAGATCGCATATCCTCAGGTACAACTGCTGTCTCCAAAGTCCAACTCCAAACATCGGAGACCACTGGGACTAGCATGCATCATGTCCTCTGTACCTTGTCTGCTTTCTTCACTGGTTCCCTGAAAATTTATTTCCAAGCTTTGATCCATGTCTAGTTACAACTGGGTTTGCATTAGAAACCAAGGCCTAGATCTGCTTCTGTTGAGTGTCCATATAGTCAAACCATAAACTCTCCATTTTTCTCAATCTTTTTCCCAACATTTTTAAATTGATTTCTCAGGACACACTTTCCATCACAAGGTGCTTATTATAAGTCTTCTTTCCTCCACTTGTTAACCTCAGATGCAAGGCTCAATCCTCAGTATGAATTTTTATTTTTACGCATTCCAAAGGGGATCTCATCAAGCTCAAATTTATGGCTTTAAATACAGCTTACACACATTGATGTTATCTAAATACACAACTTTAGGCTCACTCTCCTCTCATCTCCAGACTTACATACTTGATTTCCACCTAGAAATTGTATTGAAGTTAACTTGTTGAAAAAAAATATTATGTGTGTGTATATATATAGGCAGCCCGGGTGGCTCAGTGGTTTAGCGCCCCCTTCAGCCCAGGGTGTGATCCTGGAGACCTGGGATCGAGTCCCACATCGGGCTCCCTGCATGGAGCCTGCTTCTCCCTCTGCCTGTGTCTCTGCCTCTCTCTCTCTCATTCCTCTCTGTCTATTCTCATGAATAAATAAATAAAATCTAAATAAAATAAAATAAAATAATATATATATATATATATATATATATATATATATATATATATTATATATAAATCTCAGTCTCCAAATGTGTTTCTTCTATAGTCAGTTACGATAGAACACAAGGATATATCTAAATGCTTGAAATTTCTTGGGTTTATTATTTAAAAACTACCTCTCATATTCACATTCTAGTCCTCAGTGATATCATCAGATGTGCTTTCAATAAATATTCCAAATTTAACCACTCTTTACCTCTTCATCATTAACATTCTATTTTAAGCCACAATTATCTCTTCCCTAGACTACTAAAATACTTTAAAAAAAAAAAAAAACAGGTCTCAATGCTTCTAGTCATTTTAAAACAAATCAGAATATGCCACTTCATACACTAAATACTTTGATGGCTTCCTATTACACTTAGAATGGGAATCCAAATATTTAATTAGGCCTTCGGGGCTTCCTGTGATCTGACCCTTGGCTACCTCACCAAGTTCCTATCTGTCACTCTCCACTTAATTCATACAAACCACACTAGTTCCTATGGAAGTGAATCAGTGTGAATTAATGCATCATACATACAATCTTACATCATCCATTGAACTAAATAGCTAAATTTGAATTAAATCAGAAAAGAAAAACCCTCTGATTATAAAAATAATATCGGGGACACCTGGGAGGCTCAGTTGGCTAAGCACCTATTTTCAGCTCAGGTCATGATCTCCAGGTCCTGGGATCCAGCCGGAGTCTAGCTTCCTCCTCTATGGGGCATCTACTTCTCCCTCTACTTCTACCCTTCCCCCCTACCACATGCTCTCTCTCTTTCTCAAATAAATAAAAATCTTAAAAAAAAAAAAAAAAAAGAGTATCAGCCTACAGGGCCAATGTTCACAGCCATGAATTAATGATTAAGAGTATAACATTTGCTACACATAAATAGCAGTTTTTTAAACCATTAATAAGATCAGATAATCTGATTAAAATTTCAAGATGCTTAGCTTTTTCAGCTTCCAAAATTTATATGGTTGTCTAATTGTTGATATTTAAATTTCAAAAAGTAATTTACATTTCTGATGCTTGAATTTTCCAATTAGAATGAATTACGCTGTTATACTTCATGATGAGAAAAGCGGTATAAATTTATAGCATTTATTCACTCAACCACCTGTTTTTTTTTTTTAAATTGAAAAAGGTTTTAATTAACAATAAGTCTCAAAAAAAAAAAGAAAAAAAAAAAAGAAAACCTGAGGCCTTGCCAAACTAAAGAAATTGAAACCTTTCCTTCCTAATCAACTGTGATATTCTTTGAATATATAGTGAAGCATAAAGCAATGATAACATCATGTTTCTTACCATTTACTTGGAAGATGTGAGTCTGAAAGACTTGTTCATAGCCATCTGCATAGCAGGTGTAATTGCCCATGTGAGTTGTGGTAACCTTAGTAATATACAAGGACCCATCATCTCCAAAGTCCTATAGAAATAAATTCAAATAAAATAAAACAAAATGAGATTTTTGTATTTAAAATGTATTTTAATAATCCACTTTTTAGAAAACATATTCAGAAGCAAAGTAAATAGACTAAAATAGTGTTTTTAAATTATCAAAATGATAATTGTTAGTCTTATAGAGTTGGATGGACTATAATTACCATTTTCTCAAGACATGTTTTGATTAAAAAGTGTAATTTCACTCATATATACAGCTTTTTTAGTATTTATTTGAATTATATGAGTTTATATAAACTAATTCAATTTCCATGTATTTTTTTCTAATTTAGTTTACAGCAGTCTCCCCTCATCCACAGTTTAGTTTTCCCCAGTTTCAGTTAACTAGAGTCAACTGCAGTCTAGAAATTGATAAACGTTCTCCTGATGTGTCATCACTAGCTCAGTAGTAGTCTCACCCTGAGTCACAATGTCTACCTCATTCACTTTGCTTCATCTCATCATATAGGCATTATAATCTCACATCATTACAAGAAGTATCATGAGTATAGTAAATAAGGTATTTTGAGAAAAACCACATTCACAGAGCCTTTATCATAGTATATTGTTATAATTTTTCTATTTTTATTGTTAACCTTTTACTATGCCTAATTTATAAATGAAACTTTATCATAGGAATGTATATATAGGGGAAAACACAGAATACATATAAGGTTTTATACCAGTTTCAGACATCACCTGCAGCTCTTGGAACATAACTCCAAAGATAAGAAGGGATGACTGTACCTTTTTAGTTAATAAAGCTGTAAAATGACTTTTTTCTTATTTTTAGCTAAAACAAATAGCTCTTAATTATACTCTTGACAATAATTGTCCATTAATTTTATATCATTTAATTATATATTTACCCAGAAAAAAAAAACCCAGTATGATGTCAGAGGTAAAATTTATATCTATATTGATAGAATATGATTTTTTAAAGCCCAGAAACAATCAATATATTAGAACAAAACAACGATACTATTTCAAATATATGGAGACAAATGTATGACTATTTTGGAAAAAAGAAAGAAAAAAAATCTCACACTGTTTGTCAAAATCAAATCTAAGAAGGACCTCTGGAAGAGCCGAGTAAAGACTAGAAAATCTTCTCTTCCATAAAGGCAATGAATACACTGCAGCAATTGTCAGAATCAACTTTTCAAAAATCTGGAAATAGATAAAAAGGACTTGCACCAATCTACAGAGCATTTACTCCAGAAAATAGTTGAATCTCTGTAAGAACAAAGAGATTTGTGGCATCCCTCTTTTCACAGCTGCATGGACGCCTTGAACCACCAGCTTTGTAATGCGGCCAGCTGTGAAAACCATCATCCCAGCACACACTGGAGGGAGAAGAGTAGGCTCCGAGCTCCTCCAAGGTCCCATCCTCGAAGAACTGTCACCATTTGACCCATCTAGCAGCCCCCTGAAAACTTCCATTTTTGTGATGTCCTTATATTTGAGCAAGACTTTGAGCTCAGTCTGTGTAAACAGCTATCAATACCTAAGGCCTTTATTGAAAAGAAACAACAGCAATTGCTTAACATTACAGCTTCTTAAGATGGCGCTACTGATGGGAGATAGCAACAGGTACACCAAACCAAACCAACCAACCAACAAACAAAAACATAAAAGGAAAAGTGAGAATGGGATGTCAATAAGGGGATAGGATATGAAAAAATCTGCATATTTCTGGGAATCTGGAAGGTCATAAATATGTGCAAGACTGTGCGCATACCCAAAAAAAGGTATACTTTTTTTTTTTTTTTTACATTTTAGAATTAGGATAAGAATCCCTAATCTCTCATCTCTAATTGGCTTTGAGACCCCACACAGACAGAAACTGAAGGCTAAGGCAAACTTGCTACTGCCTGTGGGAGCACTGAGGCACAACACAAAACAGAAATAGAGCACTTTGGCAAGTCTAGAAGACTTATTGATTCAACACATTTAATTAAATACCTGTTCAATCATTAGCTCATCACTAAACTGAGCAAAGTTTCAGTAACAGTTACTGTTTATAATCAAGACAATTAAAAGATCTCCAACAGAATGGGAGAAAATATTACAAATCATTTATCTTATGTGGGCTTGTATCTAGAATATATATATATACACACATACATACATATATATATCCAATTAAAACAAGCAAATAATTTGAATAGATATTTATTAAAAAAAGAATTTTAAATAGGTAATAGGCACAAACAGGGATAATCAGCATCATTGGTCATTAGGGAAAGGCAAATAAAAACCACTATGAAATACCACTTCATTCCTACTAGAATGGCTAAAAAACAAAAAAGACAGTAACAATTATTGAAGAAGATGTGGGAAAATTGGAACCTTCAAACATTGCTGATGAGAATATTGAATGGAATACCTATTTGAAATAACAGTTCTGGCAGTTCCTCAAAAGTTAAACAGAGTCTTGTATGTCTAACAATTTGATTCCTAGGCATATACCCCGCCCACAAAAAAAAAATCTATACATAAACTGTACATGAATGTTCATAGTAGCATTACTCATATAAACCAAAAAGTGAAAACAACTCAAATACCTATCAATTAATGAATGGATAAAACAAAGTCATATATAATTGAATATTATTTGTCAATACAAAGGAATAAGGTACTAATATATACTAGAGAATGAATGAATCTTGCAAACATTATGTTAAATCAAAAAAACTAAACTCAAAAAGGCACCAATTGCATGAGTCTATTTATAGGAAATGTCAATGGCAATTCCATAGAAATAAAAAAAAAAGATTAATGGTTACCAGGAGCTGAGGGGATGAGATGATGAAAATATTCTAAACTCTGATAGCCATTGTGGCTGCACAATTTTCAGAATATACTAAGATCCGCTCAACTAGACATTTTTTAAAGTGGTTAATTTTATGAAGATTGTACTTCAATAAAACTGTTACTGAAAATAAGTTATATATGGAATATTTAGATATAAAATATATATACATATTAAAATAAAACCACATATCACTTTGGCCAACCGAATCTTTATTTAGTATAAAAATCTAGAAATCAAGAAAAAAAGAATGACCAAAATACGCGTATATAAAAAATAGACACTTCTGCATTACGAAACATTGTAAGCATTAGAGAAATAAAATGAACCAGAGGTTATATATGCAAAATATAAAAAAACCCAAAGCATTTTAGTCCTTATTTAAATAGTAGTTATTACATGTCAGATACTGCTCTAAGTAATTCATAAATATTGACGGATTTGATCTGTATAACAAAGCTATAAATCTAAAGAGAATTTAATAAATTCCTCTCATGTTAAAGCAGGGGATACTAAGATGGTAAGTAATCTTCTTAGTTTTTCTTGGCCCCTAATTAGTAAAAGGAGGATTTGAAACCAGGTAGGCTTACTCGAGGCTGTGCTTTAAACCCCTATACTTATGCTACCTTCCTTGTCAATCACAGATTCAGTAGGAATAAGGACAGGAAAAGAGAAAAAAGAAGTCAAAATAAAATGCCTGAAACAAAGGAAGTCAATCACACTGGTTAGGCTGGAGAAAAGAAGCTAGAAATATAGTGAGAGCACGTGAGGAAAAGGAAGAAGGAAAGCTGATAGGCCGGAGGCTTACGTCAAAAGACAGCAGCACTTAAAATAAGTGAACATCCGTGTCTCTTTCCTTTCTCAGCAGCAGTAAATGAGGATGACTATACGGATGCTGTTGCACCCACTCTTTTCAAGATGTAATTGGCAAATTTTCAACATCTTTTACTACAAATACTATTAAAAGGTTTTATATGTACGCGGTAACCGTTGAAGAATTGTTTGGTGGGGAGCCTGAGTGGTTCAGTCACTTAGAAGGCCGACTCTTGATGTCAGCTGAGGTCACAATCTCAGGGTCTTGAGATCAAGTCCAGCATGGGGCTCTGTGTTGAGTGGGGAGTCTGCTTAAGATTCTCTCTCTCTCTCTCCCTCTCCCTCTCCCCCTCCTCCTGCTTGTGTGCTCTTTCTCTCTAAAATAAATAAATGATCTTAAAAAAAAATAACTATTTATTGTCTCTTCTAACTTTTAACTTTGGAGTTTGCTATTTTTCATGCTCATTCCCCCAATTTTTAATGAATTCTTTATCTTTTAATTTTGTGTAGACTGATTTGGTCTGAAGATTTTTTCATTCCTTGCATCAACTTTATGATTCAAAAGGCTTTATCATTCTGATTTCATATAAATATTTCCCAACATTTCTTTCTCATTTCCTCACACTTACAAAATTATTTATCAATCCTTTAACATTTACGTTTTCTTTTTAAAGAAGTGAGCATTCATCTTTACTTTTTTTTTTTTTTTCTAAACTATAACTAATTGTGTCAACAGCATTTGGTCAGAAAACCCCATCGCCATTTTTTTATCTTTGTATCTTTAAAATATAGTACCTAGTGACTTACCAATATTCATGTAGCAGTGCTCAAAAAACATAACTAGTATATTTCAGACTTTACCTATATTCATACCATGTGCATTTCTTTTAAAAATAGCTTCCTTCTGATACTCATACAGATTGATTGCAATCAAGAAAATTACTCTGAAGCTATTGAACCTGGGCCTGAAAATAAGGAAAGTGCACTCTCAGCCAAGGGAGCAGGAGACAGAAGAAAGGAGACAGAAAGAGGGAGTGAGAGGAGGAGAGAAGAGTAAGAATGAAAATAAGGAGGAAGGGGGCAGGACAGAGAAGAAAGGGGGAGGATAAAGAGAAGGAATGGCAGGAAAGAAACATACTGTATGCTCTGGCCATGAAATCATTTAGTTGAAGAATGATATTTCTTTAATAACTGTCAAATAAAATTCTTCAACATCATATAAGATTAATCGTACCACATTTCTACAGCTGCCAGGGTGAGCTTTCATAACACTAGAGGGAAAGTCTCATGATCTGCACAACAGGAGAGGATTTAGACCTTGAGCCCCAACAGGAGAGTCGCTGTGTGATACACATGTG